GAATCAAGGATATCTTTGATTTCAAAATGTTGTTCCCCATGTACCATGATGGGGGTTGGAGGTGTGGGAGGAGGGGGGTCTGAGGTTTGAAGTGATCTCTGGTTTGAGCAAACTACAGTGAAATACTATCTTCTCCTTGGTGTCCTGAGTCTTCTTCAATATCACAGTGTTGCTTGTAAAAATCTTCAGCCTTTTCCGCGATGTCGAGCTTATATCTTTTGTCCTTCCAAGTTACCATTATACCTTCTGGTGTTAGCCATCTAAAATTGATGTTATTTTTGTTTAATCACATCGTCAAAAACTGATAATTTCTCCTTAAATACCTCATTGTTTTTGGAACCTGCTTTAAAACTATTATTTGTTTTCCTTTGTTTTCAAGTTGCTTGTCACGTGTTTGATGTAAGATTTCGTCCCTGATCGATTTTTTAGTAAATTTTACGTAAACTTCTTTTGGGAGATGGTGTCTTCTTCCATAACTCATTTGGACCCTGTATACCTCATCCATTTTTGAGACCATTTCCTCTTTCTCAGTCTCTAAAGCTCCCGCCAATAATTCAGCCATTTTTCTGGTAAATCTTCTTCTTTTTCTTCTGTTATATTTTGGAACCAAAGACATTGGGTGACCCTCTCTGCTTCTAAGAAGATCACTGATGTTTCTAATTCCTTGTTAGCCAAAGTTAGTTTGTTATTCATCTCCACAAGCTTCTTTTCTTCTTTGGAGAGCCTTTCTTCTATTTCCACCAGTTTCTGTTCATTTTTAGTAATTTGTATCTGGAAGGCTTCAAACTTCCCATCTATCAATTGCATATTTTCTTTTAATTCACTTTCTTTTAATTCATTTCTTATAACACCAATCTCTTTTCTAAAGACTTCATAATTTTTTAACATGGCTTCTTGATTTTTTTAGCTAACTTCTTGCATGTTCTGCATCATTACTTGGAGATCCTTGTAGGAGTTGGATCATTCCCTCTGGATCATAACTTTGATCGACTTTTGTGTCAAAGGACTAGAAGACATCATGGAGCCTTGTGTAGTATTTTTCTTTCCCGCTCCTATCTTTGTCAAGTTTGGGTTACTTGCCATATTAAACAGACTTTTCCAACAATTATTGATTAACAAAATATCCAGCTTATGGCTTCCATCTCTTTGCCCCTCCACTGTTAATTTATAGTTTTAGTCATTACTTGGGCATTAACCAATCATCTATTGATAGTATTCTTTAACTATTTTTCTTTTGCCCCTTTGTTCCCTTTATTCAGTGGAGGTGCGGAGAGATTTAGGCCCGAGGTAGGGGATCAACGATCAAAGAACAACAATAAGAATATCCCAATATCAATGTTGCTAAATAATTCCTTAATCTTATTTTTAACCTTATAAAATTATTAATTATAATAATTATAATTATATTCTCAGCAATATCACCAAAATATAATTAGGCCATCTTATTCTAATATCTTATATAGCAATTTTAACAGTAGATATAACTTACATTGATATTTGATAGTAACTATATAGTCAATAAGGATTTTATAGAATAAATTGTAAATTGTTATGAATACTTATAATCTAAAGAGATATAAAGATATATTATTTTATAGAGGTATAGATTGATTCATAAGGTATTTCAAAAAGCAACTTAATTCAGTTTATATAATATACTTATATTTCAGTACAGTACAGTTTTTCAACAATCACTTCTCAGGCTTGTTTTTTCTTCTCTTCTCTTCTCTCTCTCTCTCTCTCTCTCTCTCTCTCTCTCTCTCTCTCTCTCTCTCACACACACACACACACACACACACACACACACACACTACCAATTATTGTCCAACAGATGTAAAACAGATATTTGTCTCTTCTAGTTGTCACACTCTATATTGCAAAGTCATTGTTCTTATAGAGACTCCATTTTATCTTAGCTATTAACCAGTTTCAAAATTTCCAAGTCTCTATTTTTAGTTTATTTTCTATTCACAGACTATGCAATACCAAAAAGTTAAAGCTCTACAAAGTTTCTCTTCTGTATCTCTTGTTTTTGCTCCTTCTCATTTTATTTAGTTCTTATTATTTCCTGGTTTCCTTTTCACAAATTCTTTCGCTGTCCAGCACCCTCGCCCCTGCTCTCAAAACTTTCGCATCCCTCACCTCTCACCAGGCTCCACGGCTCCGATCTCTTACACACGCTTCCTTCTGCTGCTTCATTCAATAAGCCTAAGGGAATACCTTCATCAAATTCAGACCATCATCATTCCGCTCATTAATCGCTTGCTCTGTCCAACCATCAGATCATCTAGGCAGCCATCGCTGGTTGCCTTCTCCCAGTCTGGTTGGATCCTGGTTTGTCCTGCTGATTGCTACCAGCCACCACTCAAAAACAGTTTGCAGGATGCCCCACTGCTTCAGCCATCCCTTTGGGACTTCTGTCAGCTCTGACAAGCTCTGCCGGCACAGGAAAAGCAGCTTGCGAAGCGGAGAAGATCGCTTGCACCGCCCGTCTCTCCAACAGCTGACCCCACCCCTGCCAAAATATTTCTACATCAGATTTATTGACTGCATGATGCCCCCCCAAAGGATAATATCTGATCGGAGGGGCCAATTCACATCAAGGTTCTGGGGAGCATTCCTAAGCCTTCTAGATACCGGCCAAGCTCCTCCCACCAATCTTCATACTAATGGGGGGACAGAGAGAACTAACGGTGTTCTAGAACAGTATTTAAGATGTTTTATCAACTACCAACAAAATAACTGGACTGATCTCCTGCCATTTGCAGAGGTCACATACAATAACGCTGTGCATTCCAGCACTGGATTCACCCCTTTTAGAGTTGCCTCAGGCCAGGACTTCACCCCAATGCCAGAACTACCAGTAGAAGAACCAACTATACCCTCCCTTAAGAAGTGGATACAACAACTACAAAAAACCTGGCCAGTAGTAAGAAAAGCTCTGAGTGAGGCTAGGGCTGCTTTTAAAGCCCAAACTGACAAGAAAAGGATGGAGCCTAAGCTATTTAAAATAGGGATCCTTACAATGTTTGTAACACTCCAAAAAGTTAGGACCAAAATTCCCAATCACTCAAATCATGAACCTGGTAACATTTGAATTACTACTCCTCAAACCCAGTGTTTCATTGCAGCCTATTGAAACCAGAAATTACCTCGCCTCTGAGGCCACAAGCAGACATTCCTCCTACCCCCATCATGATTGAGGGGGAGCAACACTTTAAAATTAAGGAAATCCTGGAGTCATGTATACACCATGGCTCCATGTACGCACCATGGCTCCACCTAGTCACCTAGAAACATTTGCCTCCCTCTCAAAAAGGGTAGCTAAAAAACATGTTAGGGCTCCCAACTTACTGAAAAGATTCCATTCACAGTATCCCGACAAACCCAAATAACTCATTGTTTTGTTCTTTGTACTTATTTTACAGGTGGATCTCTCCTTTTTCTAGGGGGGCAGCATATCAGATCCCTATTATAATACTGCCATTCCTATGGGGAGGGGGCTTCTTTAGTTTAGCCTTTTTTCTGAGGCCTATGTATACTGTACTTTCTTTAATTTATAGCCTTTTTCCTGAAGCCTATGTATCCTTTACTTTGATTTACCTTCTAGAGAATGCAAGGGGGGAAGGCCCATCTGTTTAGTCACAGTTCTGAAGTCTCCAGCAAGAGATGCATGGGAACAGTTTCTTATCACCTTCTCAGCCTGCACTTCTCACAACAATTTTGCACCTGTAGATTGATTTATTCAACTTCAGACTGGGGGGCGGGGGTGGTGGTGTTCTATTCTATTCTATTCTATTCTATTCTATTCTATTCTATTCTATT